CGTCGGACAGTTTGCCAGAACCTCTTTGGAGCCGATCGATAGTCTTTCTCCATGGCCTGACCAAACTCCTCCCACGCCCGAGATTTTGCCTTGGCAACTGCCACTGCTGCACCCCGCTTGGCTATCCGGTACCTGTCTGCTGCCTCCGGAGACCCACAGGCCAGCCACGCCTTGTAGGCCTCCTTCTTCAGCCTGACGGCTCCCCGAACCTCTGGTGTCCACCAGCGGGTATGGGGGTTACCACCACAACTGGCACCGGCCACCTTGCGACCACAGCTAGCAACAGCCGCCTCAACAATCGCAGAGTGGACCCGCTCGGAGTCAATGTCCCCCACTGCTCTCGGGACACGGTCAAAGCTCTGCCGGAGGTGGGAGTTGAAGACTGTCTTGACAGGGTCTTCTGCCAGGTGTTCCCAGCAGACCCTCACTATGCGTTTGGGTCTGCCAGGTCTACGCAGCATCTTCCCCCGCCATCTGATCCAACTCACCACCAGGTGGTGATCAGTTGACAGCTCCGCTCCTCTCTTCACTCGGGTATCCAAAACATACGGCCGTAGGTCAGATGATAAGACTACAAAGTCTATCATCGACTTGCGACCTAGGCTGCCCTGGTACCAAGTGTACCGATGGGCATCCTTATGTTCGAACATGGTGTTCGTTATGGCCAAACTGCGGCTTGCACAGAAGTCCAATAATGAAACACCACTTGAGTTCAGATCAGGCGGGCCGTCCCTCCCAATCACACCCCTCCAGGTCATGCTGTCATTGCCCAGGTGAGCATTGAAGTCCCCCAGCAGGACAATGGAGTCCCCTGATGGAGCACTATCTAGCACTCGTCCCAGGGATTTCAAAAAGGGTGGGTACTCTGAACTGGTATTTAGCCCATAAGCGCAAACTACAGTCAGGACCCGTTCCCCGACCCAAAGGCACAGGGAAGCTACCCTCTTGTCCCCCGGGGTAAACCCCAACACACAGGCAGAGAGTCTTGGGGCTAGCAAAAAGCCAGTTTTGAAAAGTTTTGAATTGGCACCGTCTTCCTGACATCACTCACTCCTGCCTATAAAGGACACAAAGACATATTTTGAAAGATTGTTACTGTTTATACAATAAATTAGGCCTGCTTTTCAAACCTTAGCTCTTTCATATCTTTCATATTCTATGTATTATACTTACTGTACACACCACATTACACTTTACTGCTTATTCCACATAGTTGGATGTTAAACTGCATTTTGTTGTTCCAGTATTGGTCATTTTAGGTTAGTCCAGTCATCCAGAAACAAGATTCAGGATAGATGACTAGGCTAATATCTCCCGCTAACACCACAGACATATTGGACCTGAAAAATATTTTTTTCTACCTCAGAGATAAGTACTTGTAGTTGTTCGCTACCATTTTAGTCTGGACTGTACGTAACATTACTATGATAAATATATAGTTACCACTTAAAATCATTCTAGTTATTAATTTAGCCGTGTTGAATTCAATTTAATTATGTTAACAACTTTGTTCAATGACCATGCCAGTCCAGTTCTCACTGCCACCTGGCTGCGGTCTGTGTAGCTAGCTAAAAACAGTATGAACAGCTGAGGCTCTGTCCTCTGAGCACATACTTAGTATTTTGATAGAATCAAATTCATGACATTTTTATCATTCACATATTTTTGTTTCTGCTGTCGGACGATAGAACGTATGAATTACTGAGTGGAGCGCGGGTCCGGTAGACTACCTGCTTTTCGTTGCTATCCCGAAGCTCTCCTCAAGTTCACTCGTCTCATCGCATGAGTGAAAAAAACAAAAGCTCTCCGCTGCTCCTTTGTCACTCAACAGAGAGAAGGAGAAAAACCTCTCGCTCTATAAACTGCGATAACGCAATACTCGCAAACCGAGTCGCTACTTTTGGCCCTTCTTTAGAGAAATAAATCTAGGGGAGAAAAATCTGTAAATCTAGCCAAAAAGACAGTTGGAAAAACAAAGTGGAACTGGAACTGAAGGGGATTATGCAATCTGATTGGTTGGAAGCGTCATGTGGGGCGCTGTGCCAGCTAGATGCAGAAATTAAAGGAGAAGCGCTACAGCCCAATATTGTCCAAAATGTTTAATCCATTTGTTTATCCACAAAGATGGAAAATTATTTTCCAGGACAACTCAAAAATTTCCAGGACATTTTGCAAGTCCCCCCATTTTCCATGTGTTTTCCATGACTGGAAAATTGGACTATCATTTTCCAGGTTTTCCAGGACGCGTGGGAACCCTGCTTGGAGTTAATACGAAGTGTCGCTTAATCCCAGCAATAAAAAGTTCTGATCTTCTGGTAAAAATATTCAAAGATTCATCAGATTGATATTTCATATTTCTATGGAATCTCACATTTTATGGTTCATAAGTAAGATGTAAACTACCCATCCTTTACACAAACTAGATGAAAAAACAGAGGAACAAATTAATGGACACATGATGGAACAACAGGAAAAAGAGTTCATAAAAGTAAAAGAAAGACACAAAAAGAAGTTAAACAAACCCATCAACAAGAAAAAGAGAAAAGAAATACAAGATAATACCACACAAAGCTCATGAGTATGTAACCTTTCATAATACAAACTAACAGAAGCAAAATAAAGCATTAAAAAAGGTTTAAATTTTGCAGTAACACCAAAGAAAATACCATATGATGAATTTATTGTAGCAACAGAACTAGCATGTCAACAGATCACAGATGAGGGAAAGAAAGCAGAACTTAGAAATAATGTAGTTGGGATATTAAAGAACAACAAAATTCAACACAGCAAAATTACTAAAGGAGAACAATCAGCCATGACAGCATTATCCAAAAATGAACAGATAATGGACAAAGAAAAATACAAACAGATGAAACAGATGCTAGAAGACAAAAATACATACAAAATACTTTAAAAAGACCCAAAAATATGAAAAAATTACTGAAGCCACTACAAGAAAATGGCAAAATAACAGAAAAAAATGTACAAACACTGGATTCCTACAGTAAACATAACACCAAGAGTTTATGGAACATCAAAAATACACAAACAAAACACCCCACTTAGACCAATAGCAGACAGCATAGGCACACCAACATACAACATGGCAAAAGAAATCAGCAAGATCATCAGCCCGTTATTAGGTAACACAGATCAACATTGCAAAAATAGTATAGAACTGGCAAAAGAACTAAAGGAGATTACAATAGAAGATAACGACATACACATCTCAAATGACGTCACATTCCTGTTCACAAAAACACCAAACCAAAAAACCATGGACGTAGTAGTTAACAGAATCAGCCAGGACAAGACTTTACACAAAATAACAAACCTCACAGCAGATGACATAGCACAACTGATAGGACTGGTAGCTAACTCGACTTACTTCACATATGATGACACAATATACAAACAACTGGAAGGCTTCGCCATGGGTAACCCGTCATCAGCCACCCTGTGCGAGTTTTTCATGGAAGACCTAGAGCAAAAAGCCATAGCCACTGCCCCCCCCCCCCCCCCCCCACAGCTAAATAAAACTATGGAAACGCTACGTAGACGACATACTGGAAATCATACCAAAAGGACAAACAGAAACACTAACACAACACTTGAATAACATTGACGACACAGGCAGCATAAGATTCAGAAACAGATGGCAGTACAGCATTTATGGACATGAAAATAAGCAGGCAGACTGTGGAACCCTAAACATAAACACATATAGGAAACCAACACACACAGACCAATATCTATTATGGACATCCGAACACCCCACCATACACAAAATGTCAGTAATCAGAACATTATATCACCGAGCAAACATGATAACAGAAGAAAGAGACCGTAAACAAGAGAACAAACACATGCAACATGCTTTAAAGACCTGCGGATACCCGACATGGGCAACAAACAAAGGAAAACAACAAACAACAACAGAAAGAAAAGAACAACCAAAGCAAAGAACCAGAAACCCAGAAAGACAAGAACCAAAACCAGTGATAACCTTACCATGCATTAAAGGCATAACAGAAAAAATAAAAGCAACAATGAAAAAACACAACAAACACACCAACAAAACCATACACAACAGTTAGAAACAGACTAGTGCACCCAAAAGACAAAATATCAACTGGACTTAAATGTGGAGTCATTTATGAAATCCCATGCAAACTCTGCAATCAAACATACATAGGATAAACCGGACGCCAACTCAACACACGAACAATAGAACATAGAAAGGAGTGCGAGAAAGAGGCAAGTCGAAAACACGCAAGAGCAGCATAAGAAGAAGCAGAAAGCACAATAAAGAAGTCAGCCGTAACAGATCACTGCACAAGAGAAAACCATATAATGGACTGGGACAACACAAGGATCATAAACACCGAACAACAGAAATACAAAAGATGGATAAAGGAAGCAATCGAGATAAGGAGACGTGGATGTGGAACCATGAACAGGGATGATGGAGTTTACACGTTGGACCGTGCATCGGACTGCATCGTTGGAGAGGGGAGAGCGGGCAGCAGAGGGCTACAACGTCCTCTGTTGCCCGCGGAAAAATGGAGTAGGAAGTGACGCCACCATCAGCGTCAGCTCTGAGGATTTTTGCAGCCGCGAACGAAACTGTCAGCAGCAAGGTAAAGAGAAACTTTTCCTGTGTTTTAAAAAAGAACCAAAAATGCAGTTGGACAGAGCTGCTACTGTTGGTATCTATACAGAGACATCAGGACTGTTGATGATGTTAAGGAGGCACAATTTATTTGAAATAGGAACATTTCTCCTAAAAGTTCTGGGTTCCTTGAAGTCTGCAAATTCTATGCTGCAGTCTCAATCTGTTGACCTGTGCTGTGCTTCAGAAGTAGTCAGTGCATCTCTGCAGGCTTTGAAGCAGATGAGAGATGAGGAAAGTGAGACATTAACCAGCACACCTGCACCAGCTGCTAAAAGACAAAGAAAAACAAGCTCACTGCTAACAGGTAGTATTGTAATGTCCACTGTGGGCCACGCAGAAGACTCCCGGGTGAGAGTCACGCACGCTAACCAGTCAGCCAAAGGGACATCCCCTTGGCCAAGTAGCCAGGGCGCATGATCAATCGGGACACTGTGACAGGATGCTCACACTGTCACATATGTGACCTCCCTTGTGATTGGAATATGAGCAGCATCATGCGAGAGCTCTTTCTCCACTTTGTCTCGTGTCCTTACCCCGTTCCGCCGTACTACGCTACACGAGAGAAGAAATTTAGTCATTCTGGCTCAAGAGAAGGCCATAACAGGCCTAGATATGGATGGATTTGTTAGGACTTAAGCACAGAAAAGCAGACGGCTGATGCTGTAATGACTGATAAAAGCCATAAAGAAATAAAAACAACAACAATTATAAAAATGAAACAAAAATATATAAGTGAAATAAAAAATAAAATAAAAATGGAAGGATAGAGAGATAAGATAGATAAAATAGATTAAAGACATAAAAAGATGAAAACATTAAAAAATTAAGATAGATGGACAGACAGACAGACAGACAGACAGACAGAAAAAAAAGATGACTGCAGCCCCAATAGGGAACAAGCCAGTGCCCCATTTGTGCCGGTCCCAAGCCCGGGTAAATGCAGAGGGTAGTGTAAGGAATGGATCAAAGGAAAAGATAGATATATGGATAGAAGAACTGTAATGATAATAGCATAGTTTTCTATGCATTTTAGGGATATGGAGGTATGTGACACCCGAAAAATTATTTCCCATACCTGCACCCCCGATATTCTACCTGCACCCCTTTGTAGGGCTGGCTAAATCCGGCCCTGTTTCAGTTTTTTTTTTTACAATGTTTCTTATTTCTTCTTTTTCTACTTTGTCAAGGAATATACTTTTGACATTATTAGTTAAAGTGTTCCGTTTCTATTGTTGGTTTGCTATCCACAAAGCTCCTCCCTACATTTACAAAAAATTCACTGAATTCATTAGAGATGTCTTCAACTTCATAAATGTCTTTATTCTCCTTGACAATGTAGTTTGGGAGTCTTGGTTTTGTATTTTTTCTGTCTCTGCAGGCGTAGAAGCATACCCCTGTTCATCATTGATTGTTTACTTTTGTGGAAAGCCCCAGAGCTGTAGAAAGAGAGAGTAACGACACGCTTTGAAGTCGCGGTCACGTGGTTCATGGAGCTCTCAAAATGTTCCAAACATCCCAGCGCCATAAGTCAGTTTGAACGGCGTATGGTAGGACAAATCACAAAAATTTAATATCACATTTCCCCTGGTGATTTGTGGTAATTATTGAATAATATTATATATTATATCATGGACGTCACTAGGATTGAGATATAGGGGGGGCTTAGCCCCAGGAGCTTGACCTCGAACGTTTTTTGTCACACCCTGCAAAAACTTTGTCAATTAATTCATTATCTGAAGAACATTTAACAAAACCTATTATTTTATCACTTTCTTTTCCTTTCCATCTTTTGTGCATTTTCTCTTTTCTTTTCATAAAAAATAACACTTAATCAGTTCATTAGTGGGGTCTATGTTGAAGAAAGATTTGATGTAAGTCCATTAAAAATGAGATATGTTATATTTCCAAATAAAGCTATTCATTTCAGTCTACTGCACTTAACAGGGGGAAATGTTGTAGTCATTTATTTAATTTGTTTACTTACAACTTGTTTAATTATAAATGTTACTGAAATGTGACAATAAAGAACAAATGAATAATTGTAAAACTTTTATTCTGCCAAATGAGTGTGCAGTTGACAGTTATAATATATGAATAACACTGCTATGATATGGAATAAAGGAGTATATAATTAACTATTACAAGACAAAATAACAGTATATATAAAAATATCCAGCAAGTAGTAGAACTTATAATACAGAAAGTCAACTATACAGATACAACTTGACATAAGGTTGCAGGCCAGATGATAATTATAGTTATTTTTTTCTCAATGTCTCTTACATGTTCACTCCTAAATAGAAAACTGTTCAATTTTGCTTGGGAACTTTGTGCTCAGGTAAATGCTCATAACGGTGCGCTCGCCCCTGTTTTCGCTGTAGATCACTGACCTTGGCCATGCAGATCTCCTCAGCATCAACCACCTGGTCTCTCTCCTGTTCCTCACTCACTCTCTTAAAAAAGTCTTCGTATATCCATCTAGCCAACACATTGAAAAACATTTTCAATTTCTAATGCCAAGACAAATGCTACTATACCATTCAGTTTTCACTCACAATAATTGGAACAGCCATTGGTGGATAAATGGTACAGAATATGGACAACTGTTAGCCTAATATAGCCCATGTTTGGTTGCTCATGATGATGGCATTTTCCATAGCGTCACATCGAGCTGCCAAAATTTATGTTAAAGTTAGATGAGTACAATATCTCCTTTCTTTACCATAGGTAAACATAGGAAATATTAAGCAATTGACAACCCACAAGGAAAGAAGTCATAAACATATAGGTTTTAATATATGTTTTGATGTAGCTTTTGAATATATGTGACATATATAAAACTGGCTGTTTACTATATTATAGATACATATATGTACCTATAATATATTATATATATATATATTATAGAAAAATATATATAATATAGAAAAATGGTCAATAATATACACATTCGGCCAGATTCTGATTCAGGCTTTTAGTGTGGAGTGATTTTTGTGCCACCAACTGGAGTGTGCAGTGATAAATCTGCAAGAGCACAACATGCTCTGCAGTGGTATGCGGCCCTCTCTCTGCATGCTCAACTCCGTCTCTGCCTGCACAAATCTCCCTGCTGTTGCTCAATTTGCAATTTACAAAGCAATGTAGCCTCTCCGTCAGCCAATCAGAGAGCTCTCCGTTATGCAATCAAAGCATGTCCAGGAAATACTGGCAGGAAAATTGCACTTTTTTCAGATAAAGAGGACTTTATATAATTATATTTAATTAGGTTGATTAACCCTCCTCTTTTCCTGGGACATTTCCACTGTTCACTTCCTTTTACACATCAAGGGATCATTTATGTCTAACCAAACAGAGAAGAAACACTTTATATGTTGAAATTAAAAGTCATTTTTAACTGAAAAGAGTGCAATTTAACAGTTTTAGGAATAGGCAATGTGTCTTTTCTGGAAGTCAAATATGGTCACCCTAATCATGACACATGAATTACAACAAAGTATCTTGCAGGCAGTGGATGGTGACTGGTAGCTAAACAGCAGCAGAAAGCAGTTTAATAAGCTGTTAAATGGGTGCTTTTCTGCAAAGCAGTGTCTCCTGGACATGCTTTGGTTGGATAAAACAGAGCTGTCTGTGATTGACTGTTGGAGAGGCTACTTGTTGAGGAGAACAGGGAGAGATTTGCATGTGCAGAATTGATCCCATAGAGAGGGCTGCAGCTGCTGCACACAAGCGCAGAACAGTTTCTGTTTGAGCAGACTCATTACTGTACGCTCAAGTTGGTGGCACTAAGTCACTCAATGAACTGGCTGGCTGGTTAATCATGTCACTTCAGGGGAGTTTTCCGACCATTTTACTTGACATCAAAGCTTTTCATTATGGTTTGCGGCATGTAAATATGCTAGCGGAGTTAGCATTAGCATGTCAGTGCAGTAGCATTTTCCTCTCTCGTCTGAACTATAACCTTGAAATATTAACGGTGTGCTGCTGTTGCTGTCACCCTAATGTGATGTTGAGTGACTTACATGAGCGCTGAGCAGGGTTTGCTCATCGATATATAGGTTTTTCTGTATCGACCCTGACTTGTCAACAAAGCTGCGGGCTTAAGGAAGTGGAGGAAGTCCTTTCTTGATACTTCCTGTGTGCGACGGTGTAGTTCTATATTCATTAATTATTATTTCTGTTTCAGACTAAAAAACTCATGTACCAATTACACGTGTCGTGATTGTGTTCAGCATGTAGATGTGAACAAATAAAAAAAAGTTAACTGAAAAAAATAAAATAAACCAAAATGATAGGGGGGCTTGTGATTATTTTAGGGGGGCTGAAGCCCCCCTAAAACGGACCTAACGACGTCAGCGTATTATATTATATATATGTCCTAATTCATTCACAAAGTAGCCTATTTATAATTTTCCGAGCATTTGTAGGAAGACAGACACCCGTGACTGTTCTACATTACAGGAATACGACAGTCCTAACACACTGTAGAACACATTTAGACCACATACATTACTATAATATATTATAGCACTAAATTTGATGTAGTAATGCAACACACTGCTCTAATATATGCATATTTAATAACTAAGCCCTACAAGAAGCCCTAAACTCGAGTTGTAACATCCATTTTAAAGTGTTTATTGAAAGCTAGAATTCTGCTCCAGCTTACCTTGAAGAAAATATGTAGCTGTTTGTGCTTTGAATGATGATCTGTTATGTTCAGTAGAATACATTTTACAATCATTACTTTATATTTTTATGTGAAGACAGTACATGCATCTATAACCCAGTTTATCTGGCTTCTATAGCAACTAATTAAAAATAAATTTTCAATAAAACTGTATGGTTCATCACAGTAGATAAAAAGGTGTTATTTGTGAAAAAATGAATACAAACTTGTACAACATGTATAATAGCATTAATAAAGCATTTTACCAACATTATGTTTAGTCATTACATTTGCACAAATGAGCTGAATCATTAATTTGGAGCAATGTACTCAAGACCTAATGAAACTCTTTTGAATAACTTTATTTTGATTACTATTAACATAAAATGTGTCTGTGGGTTCAAATTTGAAATCACTAATTTTAGGGTTGGATACAATTTTAAAATGTAATTTTACATCTCCATTTTTGTGGTTTAGTTCAATATTTCTATATGTATAAAAATAGTATTTTAAGAATACCTTTATAGGTTGATTATCTTACCATGGTTTGCTGCGCTGCATATAGCAATCGGTCTGAGGGAGGAATCAGAATTGTAGCGTCCAGCAATGGTCAGTTTGGGTACAGTCTGACCTTTTACCATCTATTCAACATCTGGTCAGAAAGGAGACACAATATTGCATGTGTTCCCTTTAAATGAGCCTTCACACCAGCTGGGATTTAGACTCTGCAAGTCTGAATCATAAACAATAACTTTCTTTCCCAAGGTCTCATCTGTCTGCCTCCAGAAGAAAGAAGATCCAGCTCAAATCAGTTGCTAAATTCAAGAATGATTATAAACTCCTTCTATGACTTATAATCTAGATAATCATTAAATAAACAATTGTTGATTACTAATTATGATAATGAAATGCTTCATTAATCTGTGCTCACTGAATGGATGTTATGTTTGTCTAATAGAACCTGCAGTGTGTTCACCATGTTTTGACGACAAGGTCCTCACACCTGCATCCACACACATAGGCGTCATTTTAACCGGGGACGCCGGGGACATGTCCCCGGCAAAATTTGTGATTGGCAGCTGTGTCCCCCCCACCTTCAAAAAAGCCTGCCTTTATTGTCCCCAGCAATTTTTAAACCCCACTCAAGTGTATGGTTATTGTCCCCAGCAATTCTGAAAACAAACTGACGCCCTTGTCCACACATAACAAGTACAGCTAAGTTAAATCCATTACACATAGCTAACCTTATACCCAGATCAGAGCCTCCCTATCAAAGAGGGTGTGTTTCTGAGTTGTCTTGGTAACATCTCTAAAACATGTCAGCTTCTGATTGGCTGTGAAAAGAATAACATCAATTCTTTAAAACCAAATCACTTTGAGTGCCAGTTCTAGAGAAAGCTTCAGACTGGCCATCTTTAGCATATCTCTTTAACAAATCCTTTTTGTACCTACAAAGCTGAGACACTAAACAGTTCCTGCAGAACAAAGCTGATATTGTTCAACTCCTTAAGAATTGTTCCTGAGATGCAAGCAGATTTCAACCTGTGTTGCCTGGTGACATCTTTTGGACTAGAAGTCAGTGCTTGTGGTCAATATACCGGACCTGGGTTTCCAGAGGTCATCCGACCTCTCTGACCTCCAGATCCATGACAAGGGTCATCAAAAGGGTGAGGTAGAACACAGAGAGATTGCGTCTGAATGTGCTTCTGAATTATTTTTCATCCGGAGACGCCGCTTTCCAAGATTCGGAAGTTCTGACCAACACTGCATTTACACATAGGTTCCTTCATCACCTTTAGCTCCACCCATTCACAGTAAATAATAGTTAACCAATTTGTCATGTTTTAAATTATTTGTAAAATAAATTCTTACTTTTATAAACGTGACTCTTTCTTGAAGTAACACGAAGTGTGGTTGATCACTGAAAAAGCAAAGAACCTAGATCTTCTGAATTAAATCCTAGAATCTTCTGATTAATTACAATAAAGACCTCACAGGTTAATATATAGAATATTACATCTTCATGGTCATAACAGATAAAATCATCAATTTGCCTCCACTACAGAATGTATGGCTTACCCAAAGACGCAGAGAGGAGAAGAAAATGGTTGGTTCAAGTCAGCAGGAGCAACCTCACCATGACCAGAGATCACAATAACAAAAAGCTGTGTGCAGTGAGTTTAATGTGCACTCTCAAATGTCTTCTATCAAGGCTCTACATGTTCTATTTCGTCTAGTCTTAGCCCTTAAGCTAGCCGCTATTGGAAGGATGATCTCAGCATCAGCCAATCACGAATAGCTTAAATGTACGCCCACCAATGGTGGGCACCCCTTGTGGGTATATAAGTGGAGCGACTCCACTGTTCGCCTCCGTTATCTCTTCAAGCCAAGCTTAAGAGCTTTCTTTAAAGAGCAAATTATCGAAGAAACAACATTTAACTCACCGACCATGTCCAGCGACGCCAGGACCTGCCCGGCCTGCCAGACGGGCTCCATCTCCAGCGGCGACCTGCACGCCAAGTGTGAGGTCTGTCTCGGGGCTCATCACGCTGGCCTGGCCTTGACCCCCCAGGCCTCTTGCCCATTTTGAGCCGCTCTGCCCATGGCTGAAAAGGTCCGCCGGGTCGAGTACTTCACCCCCACCATCGACGAGGAAATTCCGGTGGCTGGCACGTACTCACTGGACAAGGCTTTTCAGTTCTTCGTCGTCGGTCAGGAGCCGGCTGGCTCCTACCGACTGGACGATGTCATCGACAGTGAGGAGTACGACGAGGCTGGCTGCCATAGCCCTCTTTCCCTCCTGTACAACACGGAGGTCGACGAGCCTCGTGAGGAGTACGATGAGGCTGGCTGCCATAGCCCTTTTTCCCTCCTGTACAACACGGAGGTCGACGAGCCTCGTGAGGAGTACGACGAGGCTGGCTGCCATAGCCCCTTTTCCCTCCTGTACAACACGGAGGTCGACAAGCCTTGCTCAGCGGGTCCTCCTGCCCCAGTGGCTTCTAGCTCCTCCCTGCCAGCAGTTACAGCACTGCTCCAGGAGCTGCCCGCCATCATCATCTCCGCAGCCGCGGTCTGCAAGGGGCTAGCCGTTCCAGAACCGGCTCCGCCTGAGGCAGATGATTTGGCAGGAATTTTTGGGTAAACACAGATGCGCTGTCCAGACCCCGTCTGGCCGTGTTTCCCCGCTGCCATGAGCTGCTGGGCCACCCCCTTCTCCGAGCCTGCTAGGCTTAAGGCGCCAATTTCCACGTATGCACTCATTACCAAGGTCGAGGGCTTCTCCGACCTGGGCTGGCCATCCGTTCCTCCACTGGAGCCGAACTTGGCCTCGCTGTGTGGCGCCAAGAACCACCTCGCTGGCCCGCGAGCAGTTCCCACTTCTAAGCATGACCAGCTGCTGACGCGGCTGACCGATCTTGCACACCAGTGCGCCTTCCAGACTGGCGCTGCAGGAAACATCGCCCTTCTTGCCTTTGGCATTTCCAAAATGGTGGAAGAGCTTGATGTTCCTGACGAGTCAAAAACCATCATTATTAAAACTGCTGGTGCCATTCTCAATTTGTGCGCTGCTGTACTCACCGGTTCTGCTCACATTGCTACCTGGCAGACACTTATCCAGCGGGCCTTGTGGCTCAAGGCCCTGCCCTCCATTTCTGATCACCTGCACAGGGAGATGCTGGAAGGCCCCTTCACCTCTGACGTTCTGTTTGGTCCCCATCTTACGAGAGTCATCGAGAGGGCGGCTGAACTGTCAGCCACGGTGCGAGACCTGGTCCACCCTCGGTTAGCCTCGCACTCCGGCCGTTTCTCCAGAGGATGGGACGAACGGTGCGGAAACTTCAGGCGCCTAGCTGCACCGCCTGCCCCGCGGAGCCGGCCTCCCGCTTCGGCTCCACCTCAGCGGGACCAGGGAGTTGGCGGCCAACGGTTCCAAAAGAGCCAGCAGACGCCATCTTGGCAGTCACAGGCGCAGGAACCTCGCCGAAAAAAACCACGAAAACAACTCGTTGGGGGGAATGTGTGTGCTTATGACTGTAATGTTAACTCTGAATGATTTTGGTTCTGAAATAAAACCCAAAAAACATCACATTGAGAGCACAATCCTACAGTCCTCTGCAGAACCCTCTGCCGAATCCTCACACATGTTCCCCACACCAAGCACTGCGACACATCTGCATGTTCCTGCAGTCCGTTGTATTACACGGCCAACTGTAAGGGTGCGCTCCATTTGCGCACCGGCCCCAGCCTCCAGCCAGGCCCGACTCATCCTGCTTCCCCCACAACGTTGGGTGGGATGGGATGTCATGGCGCTGTCGCGACCACGCGCTGCGACACGGTGCGCGGCTCCATCCGCTGGCACTTTGTCGTCTCCGTGCATGGGCCCGGCTCCCACTCGTCCTTCATCCTTGGATTCCACGCTCCGCGGTGCGGATCAGCCTCTTCCAGCTGTTTCACACTCGCCCTTTTGAGCACAGCCCTCCATGGGTCGCTCCCAGTTCTCTGGTTCGAGCGACGGCGGTAAGGGCGCGAACCCAGTCATCAGACGTCGTTCACGTGACCTCGAACACGCGTCCGCTGTCGGAACGCGCGCAAGAATGGCGCCGCCTTTGCCTCATGAGCAAATGGATATCGGACACCATTCATTACGGTCACACGCTCCATTTTCAGTCCGCTCCTCAACGGGATTGTGGAGACGACGTTCACGTCACAGGAACAATCTCAGGCCCTGGAGCTAGAGCTGCGGGAACTTCTTTCCAAGGACGCAATTTCCCAAGTCCCTCGCGGACGAGAGCTCTCAGGCTTCTACTTCCGCTACTTCGTAGTACCGAGGAAGTCGGGAGGAATGAGACCAATTCTCGACCTTTCCCTGTTCAACTGCTCCATAGCAGTGATGCATTTCCGCATGTTAACAATGAGGGTTTTATTTTACCTGGACGATCTGCTCATATGCGCCCGGTCCAAGGACGAGGCGTCAGAACAAACCAGGAAATTAACAGAGCATCTGTCAACCCTGGGGTTTTCCATAAACTGGGAAGAGCTCCATCCTTCCATTCCAGTCGATTGTGTTTCTCGGGGTGGAGCTGAACGCCTCCCTAATGAGAGCACGTTTGTCTCCGGCAAGAGCGGCAGATCTCACCACGGTGATCTCCCGTGTGCAACCCTGCAAGATCATGAGAGCCCTGTTAGTCATGAAACTTCTGGGCATGATGGCTGCAGCCCACGCTGTGGTGCCGCTAGGTTTACTGCACACGAGGCGCCTGCAGCGCTGGTTCATCCGCCTCCGGGTACACCCGATACGTCAGAAGAGAAGTATGTTGAGGGTTCCCCCTCGCTCACTGGGGGAATCCCTGCATCCTCTCACACGGGGTTCCCATCGGACTTCCTACGTCACACGTATCTGTGTTTACGGATGCGTCACTGTTGGGATGGGGGGGGGCACGTGCTTGTCCCATATGGTGGCAGATCGCTGGCCCTCCCACACGCACGAGCACATAAATGTGTTGGAGCGTATGACAGTAAGGAATGTGATCAGACACTTCGCTGCCCTTCTCGAGGGCCGTCATGTCTAAGTTCACACAGACAACCAGGTGGCGGCAGCCTACATACATCGCCAAGGGGGAGTTCGATCCCTCCCACTATTGCGCGTAGCCACAGATTTACTGTGTTGGGCACATGTCCACCTGCTGTCCATCAAGGCCTTCTCACACCAGCCCTGGCCTCAAATGCTCCTATATGCATTTCCGCCAGTCCCACTGATTCCCTGTCTCCTGGACCGAGTTCGGTCGGAGCAGCTCTCGGTAATTCTGGTGGCTCCCAGACGCTTGTCCGCGTCATGGTTTCCGGACCTGCAAGCGCTAGTGTCCGGCTCCCCGTGGAGGCTCCCGTGGAGGATGGACGCCCTTCTCCAGGCGGATGGGATAATCAAACATCCTCCCGGAATAGGCCAGTGGCTGTGGGTCTGGCCGCTGAGCGGTCACGGTTAGAGGCTTCTGGGCTGCCGCATGATGTGGTCGCCATGATTCAAAGTGCGCGAGCGCCCTCTACCATTGCATCTTATGCTGCTAAATGGGCAGCTTTCCAGAACTGGTGCACAGAGCGGAATGTTCAAGCGCTCTCCTGCCAGCTGGCGGATGTCCTATCGTTTCTGCAGATACTGATGGACAGGGGCCTCGCATTCAGCACTATTAAAACATATGCTGCAGCTATCTCATCCTGTCACCAGGGTTTTGGAAATAGATCTGTTTTCAATCATCCCCTCACAAAACGTTTTCTAAAAGGTGTCAGAAGGAACAGACCTGTGTCCCGCCCGCTATTTCCCCAGTGGGACCTAACGGTGGTTCTGCACGGCTTATCTGAAGCCCCGTTTGAACCCTTGGACCAGGTCTCACTCAAGTTCCTGTCACTCAAAACTGCCTTGCTGCTGGCGCTTGCATCAGTCAAGAGGGTGCACGACCTAACCGCCCTCTCAGTGGCTCCCGCATGCCTCAGGATCCGGGAAGATGGCGGGTCTGCTGTTCTATGCCCCAATCCAGCCTTTGTGCCCAAAAACATTAATGCTTCCTTCAAATCCAGGTCAATTTCATTGGCTGGACTTTTTCCTTCTCCCCATAATTCTGACGAGGAGGCGGCTTCCCATCTTCTCTGTCCGGTGCGTGCGCTCGCACGATATGTGTCACGCACTTCAGGGATTCACCGCTCACAAAGCCTGTTTTTGCACTACAGAGATTCTTCCCTTGGGCAAGCTCTGTCGACCCAGCGTCTTTCACACTGGCTCTGTGACGCCATTTCACTCGCTTACACTTCTTCAGGGCGGGATCCTCCTTAGACACTCAGGGCTCACTCAGCCAGAGGGATTTCCTCTTCTATGGCGCTCCACATTGGTGTGTCGATGGAAGACATTTGTCAGGCTGCTTCATGGGCTTCACCCTGTTCCTTTACTCGTTATTATTTACGAGATGTGTCTTCAGGATCCATCACTCGTTCAGTGCTTGGACCTCAGCAGGCTGAGTGAAGGCATTATGGCACCACATGAGCCTTGCTTGAATGATTTTCATCCTCTTGTGGATGATATTTTTAGTGGGGGCCCCACTCTTCTCTCTGGTTGCCTCAGCCTTTTAAGCCCTGGGCTGCGGCTGAGCGTCCCTCACTAAAAGGAGACATGTTGGGTGTGTCCATTGGTTGAGCTGACCAGTGTGGCATAAACCCATCCAGCTGCGCATTATTCCAATAGCAGCTTTTTTAAGGGCTAACACTAGACGAAATAGAACGTTGGTTACGTATTGTAACCCCAGATTCTATGAGTCTAGTCACAGCCCTTAAGCCACTGGCCCCACTGTTTCTGTTAGGACTAAGAGCTATCGGAGGCGAACAGTGGAGTCGCTCCACTTATATACCCACAAGGGGTGCCCACCATTGGTGGGCATACATTTAAGCTCTTCATGATTGGCTGATGCTGAGATCATCCTTCCAATAGCAGCTAGCTTAACGGCTGCAACTAGACTCATAGAATCTGGGGTTACAATACGTAACCAACGTTCTGCTCTCAACTGCACAGGGCTGCAATTAAACCGTTAAATGTGGCAGGAAATGAACTAATACACCACTCTACAGGCACATTTTGGGGAGGGACAGTTTACTAAGACTAGCCAAGGCAAGGTGAGACTCAGGGCTGATGCTGTGTTTGTTCATCGCCCTGAACCAAGGAGGAGGAAGGATCCCGCAGTGAGAAGTACAGCAGAGCCACTTCATGTTGATCCACTGACCAGTGACCACACATATTGTACTCAAGTAAACTGTGATACAAATCTTTAGAAATATTAGACATTTGTATTTATTTAATTTAAAAATGATTCTTTATTATAACAGTGCCATTATAATTTGAGAGAATGAGGAAAGCAGCAGCAGCAGTGAGGCAAATGAGATGAGGGAAAGTGAGGGGGGACATGAGATGATATCAGGAGAGAGGGACATCCCAGGAAGCCATGAGGAGCCGGCGCCAGGAGGAGAAAGGAACAGGCGATGCAACCAGGGAACCCAGCTGGAAAACCTAAGGGAGGAAATAGAAAATCAAAAAAGCATGAAAAACACAAGAGGCATTAAATGGAGTAAACAGACTATCAAAAAGGCCGTACAACTCGGTTTCAGTGGGCTCATCAGGCTACAGGTTTCTTCAGGACATAAGTATCCCTCTCAGTCCCTCTTCAGTCATTCAGTTACCTGGGAACAAAAATTGATGACAACCTGTCCTTTGCAAATCACAGCAACGGTGTCTACAAGAAAGCGCTGCAAAGACTCCACCTGCTAAGGAAGCTAAGCGCACTCAATGTGAAACAAGGACATCCTAACAATTGTATACAAATCACTGATTGAATCCATTCTAACTTTCAATATTACAGCTTGGTATAACTTTCTTACAGTTAAAAACAAAACACAACTCTCTCATATTGTCAAATTAGGCAGCAAAATTACAGGTTTACCTCAGATCCCACTTTCTGTTCTTCACGAGCGAGCAGTGCACAGGAAGGCTACCCTGATCAGTGCAGACTCAACCCATCCATTGAACCCACATTTTCAGTTACTTCCATCAGGAAGGAGGTTCAGGGTTCCATTGGCCTAATTTGTTCCCACCGCAATTACAATTTTGAATTCTTCAAGTTTTATTTTTTTTTACGATGATAACATTTTAATACCTTTTAATTGTCTTTTATATATTTGTGTGAATGCGATATGGATTGTATTGTAAGGTGAGCCATGTCAAAGGCGAATTTCTGCCTCAATTCAAGGTGGACAATAAAGTTTATCTATCTATCTATCTATCTATCTATCTATCTATCTATCTATCTATCTATCTATCTATCTATCTATCTATCTATCTATCTATCTATCTATCTATCTATCTATCTGCCTGATGTTGGAACCCTGCAAAGACAAATGCAGCCCATTAACTGGAACCAGGTGTGTTAGGAGAGGTGACATGCTCGGTTTGAAGGTTAAAAATCTGACAGTTGGAGACTTCCGGGTATGGCAGCGAAGCGAGTGGAAGCATAGTCAGGAGCTCAGCGAGGGTCCAGCATTTCCCCATTTTTTCAACTACGGATAACATCAAACTTCGATAAATATTTATGGGGAAATACAAAACTAAAAAGATACAAACCACAGAAAGGAAAACCGACGAAGAGAAGGACGGAATGGCGACGAGGGAAGGGAATGAAGACGCCCAAAACACGATGGCCACGCTTCAAGCTAGCATGGAGGCTATCCGGGAGGAAATCATGGCTAGCCACGTAGATATGAAAAAACACTTCAGCGAAGCTTGGGAGACGATGAGAGTTGACATGAAGCAAGAGCTGGGGAGTTTTAAGGACGAGATCAACAAGAAGATGGAGGAGGTGGGGGCCAACTTAAAAAGCGCGGAGACGAGAGTGGAAGAAATGGAGCAAAGAGTGGGAGAGGTGGAAGAGTGGAGCGCTAATGCTAAAGATGTGCTCCTTCGGACCGTAGAGGAACAACAGCGAATGCTGGCCAAGCTAACTGATCTGGAGACCCGGTCACGGAGGAACAACCTTCGTATATTTGGAATACCAGAGGACCGGGAAGCTGACAACCCGACTGAATATGTGGAGAAGCTCTTAAAGACTGAACTAGGTATGCAGAATGCAGAGTTGGGGATACAACGATGCCACAGATCACTCGGGCAGAAGCCTCCTGCACACGTGCCCCCCAGATCCATGATTGTGTGTTTCCTTGAATATAAGATTAAAGAACAAGTGCTGAAGAAGGCATGGTTGAAGAAAGATATACGAATAGAAGGACATCGGATTTACATGGATCATGACTACCCGAGAGAAATCATCCAGAAACGAAAAGAATATGCCCCGTTACGGAAAATACTGAAAGAAAAAGGCATAAGATTCCAGACACCCGCCCCAGCAAGGTTCCGTGTCTTCTACAAAGATGGTCCAGTTACCTACACGAATGTGACATCAGCAAAGCTAGATCTTCAGAGGAAGGGCCTGCTGAAAGGAGGATAAGATGAGGGATCTGGAGAACCGTCCAGCAGGGGACCAGCTCAAGGGACGAACGGAACTCCAGCAAAGCCAAAAGACAATTCGTGGACGGTCAGCGGACGAGAGCGAGGACGGGGAAGAGGCGTGGATGTTCAGGGGGCTCGAGAAAAACTTACACGTTTTCACCACCCATCCCAACTGAGAGACTGAAACTGGTTGAGAGGTTGTGAGTAAACATTCCGTTTAAGGTTGATTAACATAGGCAAAGAAACACTGTTTGAGGGAGTGAAGATAAATAATATTTAATTTTAAGATGCAGACTAGGATTGTAATCGTGTTCACTTATCAGTAGACAGCTGGGGTTTGACGAAAATTAATAATTGGACCGCTGGACGGAGAAGAGAGTGCATTGTCGCCATCTACAGGGAGACAGGATGGTATCAGAGCAGACATCACACTCCCTTGAGGGGCCCTCTACAGAGAGAATTCCCCTCATAGTTTTAGAAGTGAATTTCTTACTTCTTTCATGGAAGTCATGTTCAAATGTATGTTTAGTTGTTGTTCGTTATGGCACAGGTTGTTGTTGTTTTTTTACGGGTCGGGTTGATCAGTGCAGGGAGAGCCTATTTTGTAAATGTTGTTTTAAGAGAACACCATGTCATTTCAGGAATATAATATTGTATCATTAAACGTCAACGGGCTCCATAACCCCATTAAGAGGAAAAAGGTGGCTACTAAGATGAGAAGGGAAAAACAAGATATAGTTTTTTGGCAGGAGACACACCTAAACAATAAGGAACATGAGAAATTAAAATGTTTGGGGTTCAAACAAATATACTACTCATCATATGGACAGAGATGTGCAAGGGGAGTGGCAATATTGATTGGAAATAAGACTAACTTTCAGTTAACTCAACAAATAGGGGACAGAAAAGGGCGATATGTTATGGTAGTGGGGCAAATTGATCATAAACCAGTGACTCTACTAAATGTTTACAGGCCGCCAGGCAATGATCAAGAATTTATTAAGAGATTATTTAATCTGATGGAGGAACACACTAAAGGAACCCTAATCTGTGGGGGGGATTGGAACGTACAACTACAACCCCATTTAGACACTAACAATAAGACTAAAAGGATGAATCCGGAAACAAAAACAGTTAAAAAACTTCTTCAAGAAGGAAACATGATAGATGTCTGGAGGGAGCTGCATCCCAAGGAAAGGAGCTACATTTTCTTCTCATTTCCCCATAGAAAGTACTCCAGATTGGATTATTTCTTTATGACTAACACCGATAGGCATAGAATCCTCAGATGTAAAATAGGAGTAAGGGATCTATCAGACCACGCAGGGATCTACCTATCTATACATCTAGAGACTGAAATAAAACAAACTAGCTGGAAGTTGAACACAAGCTTGTTAAATGATCCCCAATGTATACAATTCATAAACGACGAGTATAAAAGCTATTGTGAACTAAATGATAATAAAGAGGTATCCCCTAGTATTGTATGGGATGCATCAAAGGCAGTAATAAGAGGAAAATTGATCATGTGGTCCTCGAACAAAAAGAAAGAGAAACATAAACAAATAAATGAGTTATTAGCCAAATTAAAGAACTTAGAGACTAAGCACGCCACCGTTAAGGATCTACGAATATTGGAAGAGATTAATTTAACAACACGGGAATTAAATGATATATATGACAGACAGGAGGAATTAAAAGCTAGATTTGTCAAGCAAAAATACTATGATTATGGCCCTAGGGCAAAGAAATTCTTGGCTTGGAGAACTAAAAAACAGAAAGAAGAAAGAGGAATTTATTGTATTAAAGATGAAGAGACTCAAATGCTGTGTTATACTGCTAAAGAGATACAAAACTCATTTGTAAACTATTACAAAACACTATACTCGCAGACCCGAGGGGTCGACCCTCTTCATATTAATAAATTTTTACATTCTTTGGACCTACCTATGTCACGGTCTGGGGTTTTTTCACACACTAATTGGTGTAGAGTCTCATCTCTCCTCTGCAGGTGGGCGTGCCTGGAAGTTGGGAGGCTGCAGGTAATCTGCTGATTAGCTGGCCAGGGATATTTAAGCTCCTGAGAGACGACTTCACTTTGCTGGATGATTAACTCAACTTGGATATCACCTATCAGTTCACCTCGTTTGCTGCTACCAACCTGGTGTCTTCACTGTCCACTCGTCTCTCAGCGTCCTCCTCTGGTCTTCCCACTCCAGGCTGCCCACCCTCCCTCCTGAATCACCATTACCCTTCATGCTCAGCTCCCTCCTCATTTGGACTCCAAGCTCATCAGCCTCCAGTAAGCCTCCTGCCCTCCCCAGACCGGTCACTCCTCCCTCTCTCACGAGCTCTCACCTCCAACCTGTAAGTTCCATCAGATCCAACATTCAGATTTCCGAGTGCCAGACCTAACTCTCCCTGTTCCTCCAGGATTCTCCACACCCGAACCTCGCTTCTCTGCCGAATACTGCTAGACTTCCTAGCAGCTCCTTCTGTTCTCCTTTTCTAATAAATTATTGTTTGCAATCTTCTTTGACTCTGTGGACTGATTCTGTATGTCGTGGGTTAGGCATCTACCACACAACATGACAGAATCATCCAGCCAGAATCCTAACCTCAGTACCGAATCAGTTCCACCTGTTATCACCGAAACCTTATCACAACACAGTTTAGCCCTTCATTCCCTCACCAAACAACTGTCAGACGCTAACCAGACTCTGTTTCAGTTGGGTGCGATGGTTAAACAATTAAGTGAACAGCTCACCAATCCAGAACCCTCTGCTCCTCCTGCTCCGAGTCCGCCCGGACCCGTTACCTCGGCACCATCCATCCCGGCCAACTTCCGGGTTGCCTTGTCTCCTCCCCCCGAGACGTTCGACGGGGATCGAAACGTTTGTAGAGGTTTCCTCCTCCAGTGTAACTTGGCTTTCCAACGCTCCCCGGAGTCTTTTGCAACCGACGCAGCCAAGATTTCCTACATTGTCGGATTACTGCGCGGCAAGGCCCTCAGGTGGGCAGAAGCCAAGAGCCGCTCTCCGAACTTCCTTGCGGGCCCATTTACTGAGTTTTTATCCGAGTTTAACTTGACATTTGACAAATCCGAGCCCGCCTCAGAGCTAGCAAAACAGCTCTGGAACCTCCGCCAAGGCAAGCAATCAGTGGCTGACTTCGCCATCGAGTTTAGGACCCTGGCATCGGCTTCCACTCTCGACGAGGATTCATTAAAAGGGGCGTTTTCACAAGCCTTAAACGAGCGCCTCCAAGACCAGCTGGCTTTCTGCCAGGAACCCACAAACCTGGAGGACTTGATAATGCTCTGCAACCGGATCGAGAGGAGACTGAATGACCGTCATAAAGGTAACAATTCGTTTTTTCATCTTCAGACCCATACTCAGTCCAGGGCGGCCCAACCAGCACCATCCTCTCTCCCCAGCGAACCCATGCAGTTGGGCCGGGCTAGACTAAGCCAGGAGGAACGAGATAAAAGAATGAGATCTGGTCTTTGTTTGTACTGTGGCCTAGCTGGCCATTTCGTGTCTGACTGTCCCAAGACTTTAAACTCCAGAGCCCACCAGTAGAACCTAGGATACTGGTGGGCGGTTCATCTGCACTCATGAAGTCTCGGTGTGCTTTAGACTGTTCTTTAACCTTCAGTAAAACCTCAATATCCACCCGAGCCCTGATTGACTCTGGATGTGAACAGAACCTATTAGACCAACTACTAGTTGATCGGCTCGGCATAACCACTATTCCACTCGAGGCCCCAACGAGGGTTGTTTCTTTAGATGGCAGCTTCCTAACCTCTATAACCCATAAAACTGTTCCGGTTAACCTCTCGATCTCTGGCAATCATCATGAAACACTGACCTTTTTTGTTTTTCCATGTCACCAGTCAGAAATCGTCTTGGGGCATCCCTGGTTAAGTCTCCACAATCCCCGCATCAACTGGGTGTCTAACAGGGTGGAGGAATGGAGCAACCAATGTCACATTTCCTGTCTGGGCACAGCTCGAATCCGCTCTGAGTGCAGAACCCCTGAACAACCACCTCCCGATCTCACTGGTGT